CGATATTTCAAAATCGACTGGTTACTGGTTCACATATACAATATACATATAATACATACAGACAGGCGGACCTTGCTAACCCAACTCGCCTTTCAGGGCTTAAAAAAGCACCTTTAAAACAAGATTATTTTTTACGATGCGAGATTATGAGACAAAGAAATYAAATTTTTGGGGACCTGATAAGCGYAGCTGATAGAGAAAAGGATAAGGGCAATAGAAGAAGTTTTGTGATCTCGGCCTAGMCCTCCCTTAACGTAATTTTTTTCAAGGGCCTCTGATGAAGTTTTGTGATCTCGACTCAGACCGATTATCGGTTATAGTACCAACAAAGAAGAAGCATAAATGGTGTTTACACGCTTCTAGATTTTTATATGAGCTTGCCATCCAAAAAATTGAATGTTTTCAACCTCTTCTTAACAGCAGACATGAATGTGAAATTCCTTCCGCAGAAGAACCTTTGCTTAAGATGACCCTATTAATTTAGCAACTCAGTATAGTGGGTGAGATTGCACTATATGTAAATGGTCTCATCGACTCTCAATAATTTGTTCTAATTTTTAACAGAATTTGGTCACAGAATTGATATCCAAAGCAATAAGCCTCAATAACTTCTTTTGCTTGTTACCCTTCGGCATAAATTCTAATTGCTCCAATTTATTGAAGAGGATATACCCATATTCGTGAGTACTTATGGAAGATGGATAAAAATGAGCAAATATTATTGTCAAYATAAATATTGGCATGCCATGGCAATTGGCTTGTTGATGAATAAAATAATTTTAAAATACTTATAATAGACCTAATGGCGAAATATATATTAACTAGCTATATGAGTCTATAAGAGGGATTTTTATCTAAACTATAATGATAGTAATTGGAATTCAATCGGAAGAAACACAAAGAATGGAGATCGTAGCTCACGCCCACGAAGTCATTTACGCTAACTTAGCAAAGCAAAAGTTTTATTTACCATTATGAAAGTATCTTAAAATTGAGAGTAACTGGAATTGGAGGATGCTGTTGTGGACGACAATGTGTGATGTGGTTCAACCAAAAYGGCGCCACATGTCATACAGCCAACTAAACTGTCAATTTATCGAAGGAAACTTTTGGTCAGCGCATTACCTCGTGTCATGGGAGTGAGATGTGGCTTCCAAGATCGCACATTTGGAAAACCTGAACTAGTTTTGTGGGGATATAGAAGAATGTTATTACGTGAGTACCTGCCTGCGAAGACTTAACCTCACGGTGCTTTCTACTGCTAGAAGCACGCAGATCAATACAATGCGTTGATCAGCGCCCCAAAGCATAAATACATTTTGCATTTAATTTTTGGTTCGAATTGTTACGAGTGGATAGGGACACCCTAGTCACCTTGGTCGGGTTCGAGGCCCATCTAAAACCTCGGCAGTACTTTGGGTCCGGCACTCGGCTGCAGTGCGACTCCACATTGTACAAAATACCCTTCCTGCATTTAGGTTTAAACCACAGCCACCACGAATCTCCACAAAGGGCCAAACCCAATGAGCAGATTGGAGTTACTTCCAAGGGCTAACTGCTCCCCGTCGTACCAGGAATTGGAAGATAATATTAAGCGCTTTATTGCTGACATACGGAAAAATACTTGGAAATTGGGCCACTAAACTTGAGTTTATTCAAGCCAGCCTCGGCGATCACTTGCCCAAAGTCACTTTTAAAACATAATGCAAATCCTTATATTTGTAATGAAGCTAAATTCCTAGAAATTCAAATTTGTGTGTGTCTCGAAGCAAGAATGAAAAGTGAATTTAATATTCATACAATTTTTTCTTCTCTTCAACTTGCAGAAAGTAAAACACAAACTGTGTGTTAACCAATTCTTCAACATATTCATTGCATTTTCAACGCATCATTTCCTTTCACTCACAAAAATATCTGTATGCATGTGTACATAGTAATTAAACTTCTACTTTATACTGTTCTTATTTCCTTCTCGTTTTTGGTTTTTAATTAAAATTTATTTTCGAGTCACATTTTTAATTATTTTTAGCTKAAATCATCTCATAGCTCATTGCTACATTTTTGACTTTTACTTCTTATTCATATGCTTTATTTATTTACGAGTTTAAAGTSAAATGCCTGGCCTTGAGCTGCAATTTGATTGCCGTAAAAATGGACATATGTCACAAATTTTGATATAGGACCACTACTTTTATATTCAAAGTCGAATATTTTRCTTCAGCTTTTGTCTGCAAGATATTCTACGAATGCAGCAATSTGACAGCCATAAATTATTATTGCAAAAATTGAAATTTGAAAGTCCATTCAAACGCCTTATTAAGGGGATACGAGTGATATGTTCATATGTATGTGATTGTGTGTGATTGTTGAAATCAATTTCTGTAATTYATTCAGTGGGTTTCAATAATTTTTGTCAATTTCAATGAATTCCTGTAGTGCCATGTTGTAAACGTTGACCGAACAATGGCTTTATCGTTTTATAAGCCTTATTCACAATTTTGAACAATTGAAGAAAAGTTTGATTAACGACAAATGTCTCTGGTTTGACAGCATAATTGAAATATTAGTTGCAATAAAACGTTTTAAATTTTTTTTTGTGGAACGTGAAAACAGTGAGAAAAATGTATGAGTTCATTTTTGTTAGCTTCATTACATTTTTAATCTTTATTTTAATTTTTGTCTTTATTTATATTTTTAATTCTACATCTATAACTCTTTCTCTTTCTCTCTTTCTTTCTCTTTCACTTTGTCTTTTGCTTTCCATTTCCATCTCCTTCTCCTTCTCCTTCCCCTTCTGCTCCTGCTTCCCCTTCTATCTCTA